CACAGCCAGATGTGTGCTTTGTAATTTCATGCCTCAATTATCAAAAAGGAAGCCCAGCACTTTATTCTTCACTGGATGTTTCATAGCTAAGAAAAATGTTGACATTATTGCAGAATTAAAAAAAATAAATTATAAACAGAACACACCTTTAGCTACAATACTGGTTTCAGTAACTTACACTGTCTCAATCTGTTTTTCAAACGTGCGACGCATGAAGGAACATTGTACACAGTTAAGACAGACAAAGATACTTCAGGTACCCTTAAACTATGACACAGCTATTTTCAATTCCTGAGCAACAATGTATCTTAAACAGAACAATTTTCCCCCTCTGTCAGTTCAATTACGAGAAACCAGGAGAGGGTTACTACCAGTTTCAAAATTGCCTAATTATCCAGCACAATCCAATCTATGTCTGCAGAATAGTCTCTATGGTCGCAGTAGTTCCTTTCATCATTGGGGGATGAAATTGGTTCACGTGCTCTGAATAACCTAATCACTGCTGCCAACAGAGAAACAAATGAAGGGGGAAAAAAAAACCCCAAAAACCTGCCCTGTGAGCTAGAAAAATATTTACAGGCCACGCTATTGTAGCAAGAAGCCTTTCAGAGTTATTTTAGAGAATCTGGCAGAACATAAAGCAAAAGCGAGTATCTATACCTAGAGAAAACCAGCTCACAACAATAATCAGGTTAGTAAGATACCTTTACTCAACCTTATGATGAAATTTTCAATAAAGACGGCTTGGAGAAAAATGAAGCCCCAAATACCTAATGCTAAAATACTGGACAGATACACAAAGAGTGTAAGAGACATATACAGCACAGTGTAATCATTAACAAAAAATAAGGCAGCAAAATCAGCCAGAAGTACCAGATAATAAAAACATTACTGTCACAATAATGCCATAAGTACTTATACATTAAAAACATTTGGTGAAATTAAAGGTTTCCTAGTCTGCATTTTTCTATTTAAGGAAGAAAACAGCAAGAACAACCCTAAAATTTGTTAGTACTAGCTACCCAAATGCAAGACAAATTTTAACATTAAATACACACCTATTTGTTCCGATATAAAAATGCAGAAGTGTACTAGCACAGTTTCCAATATCGTCAGAATAAACTAAGAAAACCCTAATTCAAAACAAGTATTTCAGAATTAATATACATCTGTCTCAGACAATCCACTAAACACAGTTCAAGAAAAAGGCCCTGGAAAATGATGCTGCTAAATCGTTAATCTTTACATCAGCAATCTTACAATAAACAGGCCCTGCACACATACCATCAGGGGTTTTTGGATACATTTCTTCCCTTAATCTCCAATATTAGCAGCAGCAGCATCACTCACTCTTCTGCTCTTTTCCTCCTAAATCCCCAAGAGTCCTTTCAATGCAATTTTATCAGGATTTCTGAGAGGTCTCTCAGCCACATCCCTACGCATGAGAGGCAGCAGGAAAATCTA